GCGCAAAAACCGCCTAGTTTGCTTTGTTGTTGAATTGTTGCACTTTTCTGAGTGATAACGCATTAGCACTAAATTACAGAACACCATTCTATACAACGTTAACGCGTTGTCATTTTGAGTTAGCTCTTTGTTACTTACCCACTGTCACATGTACACTTTTTGAAATGGTCTAATTGGACTTTTTGCGAAGAGCGCTAACTTTTACAGTTGATAACTTATTTTAACACGATGTGCGGAAGCTCTTTTAGGATATAAATATTAAACTTAACATTTAATTATCGAAATATTGGGTCATTTCAAAGCAAAAATAAGATGAAGAAAACCACAACCACCCTACCCTCAACTTCTGGTCTTCACATGTTAGTGCCCATAACACCATACCTATGACCATTAGAAATATTTCCTTATTTTCTTATTGTACCGCTGTATAACATTCAGAGTAAATGGCTTAAGTAAACCAACAATTGTAAAATTAGATGATAAATACTTCATTCAAAAATACTTTCTCCTTTACCATCTAGCTACCATCTAGCATTTTTTTTACCATCTAGCATCTTCTACCATATTGTAGATGCATCTAGCATTTTTTTACCATCTAGCATCTTCTACCATATTGGTAGATGCATCTAGCATTTTTTACCATATCTAGCAATTTCTCCTATAAAGGAAATCCTTTTTAAATAAAGTGGTCTGTTCGTAATCTACAATTGATTTCTCTTTAACAAAGTGCGTTCGGATTCGATTTGCCTAATTAGACCAGTGTAAATCATCTTTAAATAACATCTCCGCAGATTCTGTTAACATTCTTCAACAATGATGATCACAGATGAGTACAGTTGTTAAGATAGGAACGCCGAGAGGCTCTGGGTATTGGCTCAGAACTAAATGAAGACGAGCATACTGATGAACTCGCAGACCTCACTGATGATATCTGTGCAGGTACAGTTTGCGTATTAGTCCTAGATCCAATGTGCAAATCAGTTTTACAAAATCTGCAAAATGCTTTTTGAAACTGGGGTGTGTTGATAAAGTAGATATATGGATTAATAGAATAGTTTACCAAAAGAAGTGTTCGCCCAATGTGTCCAAGAACAATAAACCACGTGTCGGTCATGTGACAAACAGACATTTCTATGATATCCCGGATGTTGATGGGCGTGGTTGTTATCACATACACGCCTATCACTATTGATATGATTTGAGAGACTTGTTTAGTCGCTTTATCCCTGTTAGTCCCCAAGGATTTTTTTAACGCTATGATTTTCATGATATGTAAAAGACCTAGTAAACAAATAGGTCCCACAGTCACAACTACAGTATACACCAGGTTTAATAACGCTGCTGCCTCTACCTTCTTTGTCAAATAAGTTAAATAAACATAGGGAGCCGACAGGATTGCAGCAAATATCCAAATTATTGCTGAGACAATCAGAACTCGTTTGTTTCTCATCCACACCAAACTTTTTAACGGAAAGGCGATCATAAGGTATTGTTGAACAGAGAGAAGTATCACGTGGCCGATAGAGGAAAAAACAGAGGATAGAAATAAAAAAAGTATTGGAAGCGAAACTTTGAATGGCACTGAAAAAGTATATATCAAAAATCTACACATTAAACATAACGCATCGGGAACGGTCAACATTCGTATACCGGTGTATATTGGTTTGTGGAGTCTTTTTTCAGCACATATCACAATAAACACTATAAAGTTTGATAACATTCCAAAAATGGATAAAACCTGCAGAAAAACGGTCATTGGTCTGCATTTATCAATCTCCCAGCAAAATGATTTCCCATAGGAGGAATTTTTTGTCGTACAGGTGTACCATGTAGAACCAGTTTTGGTCTCACCTGTGCTGTTCGGAAGAATATCCATCTCTAATTCAACTAATGTCACTACTCCCTGTTTTTATAACCGCATCCTTTAAGTGTTATCAGTCATTCGAGAATCATTTTATGTAAAATTGATCTCGCCACTCCGGTGTAATTTGCATAAAACTGATCTTTTGTTTATTTTGTAGAGACCCTTCTAATAAATCAAATCAATAAGCCAGAGATTAGCCAGAGTTCATTTTGTAAATCCTCCACGAGAAGAATGTGAAGAACCGTCTTGATCCTCCTATCCGATGATAAAAAGTGTAGGGCTTTTGATAAAAGTTGGAATATCCGGTGGTATAAAGCAATTTTAGAATATACATTGGTAGTTGATTTGGATTTAGGTGGAGAGCACCCGGCACATGTCCACTCACTAATAGAGAAGAAATTCACCAATGTTCTGCTTCTAAACGTAAAGAAATATGACTTCCATTTAACTTTTTAGCACCTCTTTCTCTCTTTACCAATAAATGGAACCATGAAGATAGGCATCCGCATTGGAAATATATGTCCAAGACGTACACATTTAAGTAAAGCCTTACAATCTATTTTTATGTCAACCTACTTTCTGATTTCTGTTCATCTATGTGGAATCCTTCTAAAATAAAATGTTTTCTGATAACATAAGTAAATCAAGAGTTTTCAAAAAAGTTCGCTAATTTGGACAATTTCAAGGGATACTTGGAAAACAGAAAAAATATATATAAGCGACCTCAAATGCCGAGTGCTTCCTTTTGGCATTTTAAGCAAAATACTTACCTTTGTTGATTTAAATCAAAGAATAGTTTTTGATGACAAAAGAGGTGACCGATTTTTTTTTCTTTTTGATTGAAAACAGTAATCAAACATCTATATCTAGAGCAAAGCAAACAATTTTCTAATTTTTCCTCATATGCCCTCGAACCACTTTCATTCATTTCTATTGTTTTATTTTTTAATCTGACGGTATAAATTGTTCTTTTGCAAATTTGGAGTTTACACTCTCTGGCAATTTGGAAAAAAAATATTTGTTAATGGTAAAATAGAAGAGATGTCATTCTTATTCCCCCTACTTTTATTTGACCTCTCTTGTCAATTTATACAGTGCCAGGATACTTATTAGTAGCTCATATTTTTATTTGTTAGTCTTTGCGTTACTCCGCAAATATTTGCATATTTGGTGTTTACACCCTCTGGCCATCAGCTAATGTTTTAAATTTGAAATAAATTATTGGATGATACTAAAATAGAAGAGATGATAATCTTAATTTCCCCACTTTTGTTTGACCTCTTTGACCTCATTGCTACGGAACTTACTAGTAGCTCATATTTTGATTTGTTAGTCTTTGCATTACTCCGTAAATATTTGCAAATTTGAAGGTTACTCCCTCTGGCCATTACCTAATGTTTTTTATTCTGAAAAAAAATCATTGGATAACCTAGAATAGAAGAGATGGCATTCCAATTCCCCCACTCTTTGCTTAACGTCTATTGTCAAATCATATTGTGCTGCGGTACTGAGCTCATATTTGATTTGTTAGCATCCCCTGTTGACCTGTCACACCCGCCATGAGCACTCATTATTGACCAGGAAGGCATAACATTCTGCAGTCAAATTCAGTATAAAAAAGAAAATCCTCACATTTTGTATCAAACAAATCGGCAAAATTAAATCCAATGACAGATTATATTTGTAAGAAAGATTAAAATAATAAAATTTTTAAAAATGCTTACTTTAAACAGGGTTGCTGAAATCCCTATGATATTAATTTATCAGTGGGTTTAACACCTTGCTGAATGAAATATATGGAGATAAAGAACAGTTTTCGAGCTCAAAAGTCCATTAAACATTAGAAAATAGGAGTGGAACAAACACAGACCTCCAAAATCTCAGAGGTGGGATCAGGTACCATGGAGGAGTGAGCATCCTCAACCGACTGGTCACCCTCGCCGTGTGCTTCTTATCGTGATTGGGAGATAGCGGGAAAAATCCGTAAACAGCTCATTGTATTAATAATTAATAATATTAATAATTAATAACAATCAGTATAAAAAGTCAGTTAGCATTTGACTTTCTGATAAATTGTATTTGCTGACAAGGTTGTATCTACCACGACTTACGAGGTTATGACTTAAAAGAGACTGCTGATGTTCTATTTTCGTCAGCTTGTTTTTCAAAATCTTTCAAAATTGTTCATACGAAGAACATCTCTTCCGTACCGAATCCACTGAGAGATATAAAATACGTATGCAGACGACAAAGGTATATTGTTGCATAAGTAAGGGAAGTTGACAGTGGAAAAGTTAAAGTAATCACATTTATCATTAAGTTTTGTTGTTAGATTAGCATTAACGTCTTTTTCTAGCAAAATATCCAGCTGATGAAAAACAATGCCAGACTCTGTGGTATCTTTTATCTCAAACCCATCGGGATATATCGTGCCGACATAAGAATTGAAATTACTATAATTGTTAATGGCAATACGTTGTCGATTTATATCGATGGCGAGTTGAAAACTACAGCAAGCGTTTTCTTCTTTTCACATAAAAAATTCTGAACAAATTCTGCTTCTTATGAATATAATAATAGGTCTGAAAATAACGGACCGCAATTGGTACCCATGGGAGTTCCAATGGATTGTTGGAATACCTGGTCAACAAACGATAAGTCTTATCTTAGATCTGCTAGTAGAATAGAAATAAAAACTCATTTTTGTCGTGAATGATGCAAAATAACCTCCGCGGTCTCGAAATGTTGTTGAAATATGTAAGCCTCGGCATTTATCTTTCAAACAACATTTCTCGAGATTATTCTGCAACATTCATGAAAACGCGGACTTTATTTCTTAAATATATTATTCCCTTTGGGATCACAATAATCTGCTGAAATTAATTTTCTCTTAAGGCATTGTTGCACTTTTCCATGTGATAACGTACCAGCGCAAAATTATAGCGTACCACTGCTTTATTAACAACGTTGCTGCGTTGTCACTTTGAACGGTTTAGCACATTGTTACATCTACACTTTTGCAAATGGCCTTATTGGAACACCATATATACCTCATTCAAAAAATTCTTTTACCATCCAGAATCTTTTACCTCCTGGCATCTCTTACCTTTTAGCATCTTTTACAATCTAGCATATTTTATTATTAAGAACATTCTTTATTTTAATAAAGTGAGCTGTTCTTGTAGTTCAACGATTGCTTTTCAATAATGTGCGTGCAGACTCGATTTGCGTATTAGGTCCAGTGTAATTCATCTGTAAATATCTCTTCAAAACACCATTCGCAGATTTGGTTAACATCCGTTATCAAAGGTGGTCACAGATGAGTACAATTGTTGATTGAAGAGCATCGAGAAGTTCTAGGTATAGGCTCAGATTGAAGAGAAGACGAACTTATCGATGAACACGCAGACCTTACTGATGATATGTATGCGGACTCGGTTTGCGTATTAGTCCTAGATCTAATGTGCAAATCGGCTTTATATCCACAGCATCTGAAAATTGCTTTTCGAAACTGGGGTGTGTTGATAAAGTAAATATATGGATTGATAGAATAGTTTACCAAAAGAAGTGTTCGCCCAATGTGTCCAAGAACAATAAACCACGTGTCAGTCATGTGACAAACAGACATTTCTATGATATCCCGGATGTTGATGGGCGTGGTTGTTAACACATACACGCCTATCACTATCGATATGATTTGGGAAACTTGTCTAGTCGCCTTATCCCTGTTGTTTACTAATGATTTCTTCAAAGCTATTATTTTCAGAACATGTAAAAGGCCTAGTACACAAATGGGTCCCGCAGTGAAAAGTACAGTGTACACTACATTTAATAATTCTGCTGCATCTCTATTCTTTAACATGGTGGTTAAATAGGCGTACGGAGCAGACAGGATTACGGAAAATATCCAAATAATTGCTGAGACAATCAGAACTCGTTTGTTTCTCATCCACACCAAACTTTTTAACGGAAATGCAATCATAAGGTATTGTTGAACAGAGAGAAGTATCACGTGGCCGATGGAGGAAAAAACGGAGGAAAAAAATAAATGGATTATTGCAAGAAAAAGTTTTTTTGGTAAGCCTTGAAAAGTGAATATTAGAAATCTACACATTAAAAATAAAGCATCGGGAACGGTCAACATTCGTATACCGGTGTATATCGGTTTGTGGAGCCTTTTTTCAGCACATATCACAATAAACACTATAAAGTTGGACAACATTCCAAAAATGGATAAAACCTGCAGAAAAACGATCATTGGTTTGCATTTATCCATCTCCCAGCAGGACGATTTCCCATAGGTGGAATTTTTCGTTGCACAGGTGTACCAGGTAGAACCAGTTTTGGTCTCACCTGTGTTATTCTGAAGAATATCCATCTCTAATTCAACTGATGTCACTTATCTTTGTACCACGAGCTGTAATTGTCAGGCTTTTTTATCTTTGTATCAGTCATACGCAGAATCGTTTTACATTTGATTAATCTGCATATAAATGCATCAACATTAATATCGCCATGTTTCATTTTGCTGTTGGCTCTTCCATTATATGCAGCAATCAATGTTTTGGCCCCGGGTTGATTCTGAAAACAAATAGTCCATTAAATAATATAAATAATTTAGCAGAGCAAACATGGGCCTCTAAATCATCAGAGACTGAATCAAGTTCCAGAGGGGAGTGGAATGAGCATCCCCTGGACCGCTCACACTGTATGACCAGGGAACAACGGTAAAATTCGACGACAATTAAGTGTAAACGTCAGTCAGCATTTGACTTTAACCTCGTTTTAGAAACGTCATTTATCTAAATGCAGTTTGAAGGCCACAGCAAGTGCTTTCTTCTTTTCCTGTTTGAGAACAAAATTTGCTTAATAATATGAACAAAAAAATATGTTTACTAAAAACGGGGCACAATTGGTACCTATAGGAATTCCCATAGATTGCTGGAAGACCTGATATCCAAAAACAACATGGATAAATATTGTCAATCAGAAACATTTAAATATCAACTTCAGAGTGCTTATGTTTGCAATCAGAAAGTTTTACGATGTTCATTTTTATTGAAAAGGCACCTATTCGTGATACCAAAAAGCCAGGACTTTAATTTATTGTGGGGATTGGATATACATGTACATGTTTATAAAGTTGAAAAATGATAAAGTATTCTATGTTGTCAATTTGATAAAATTTTCTGATTTCAAATTTTCCAAAAGTTTTTGTTATTATTAAATCATTATTAAACCAATTATTTAATCAATAATAAGAATTTTTAAGTACCTGATTTTCACTTTTCGAATATTTTGCTGTACAGTACTTCTGAGGTTTCTCTTTCACTACTTTTAATATTTTAGTGAGGAGTAAAGAAAGAGACTTAGTAGAACATTTACAGATAAGGAAAATATAAGATTTTATTATTACGAATGAAATAATAATTTTTTGAGTGGTAATATTTTTATGTGCAAATGAGGTTGGGTCATTGTAAACTCTGTAAAATGTTCAAATACAAACTATAAATCTAGTTTGTATAATAAACGTACATTTAATATTACGTAAAGGTGAAAACCATTACCGATCATTCAAGATATTAATTGACGAACTACAAATTAATAAGTATGCCAGTAGTTTGAATCTTGTCAAACCTTGATTCCAGGGGTCAGCACAAGTGTTCAAAGTTTATATTAAAAAATGTTATTTCTATTTCAAAGAAGACTGACAATTTTTCTCATCCTAGGTAGAGCAAATTTATTTGCTAGCAACACTCTCAAAGACATTCAATACATGTTTCGATAATAATGATTATATTTAGACGCAAATGAAAATTGTACCAAAAAAAAGGCATAAACTGTGAATAAACAGAATTTTAAATAAATGATGGATTATGATCTATCGACCAATCCAAAATGAAACGTGATTATGGAAAATAACAACAATATCTATTGACCGTGTGCTGTGGGCAGAGTTAGCACGTTAAAAATAATAGTCGATTATTATAACCAAAAGTCTCTGTCGAGACTGTAGCTCTACTGGTTTGTACTTATAATAAAGGAAGAGAAAAGTACCAGTTGGGACATAAAACTTTACAAAAGCAATAAATAGAATAATGATCCTTGATTAAGTCTCTTTTTGTGGCAAGATTGCAATAAGTCTACAAATGTAGGAGTAGCTTTTAATAAAATTTTACATAATTTTAAATTTTAGTTACCACGGCAACATCGTTCATCAACATCAAGAACACAAAACTGATAATTATGTATCTCAGTGTAGTCTACTTGCATGCCAAATTATATTATAATAAGACTAAAACTGTATTTAGGGAAGCATTTTGAAAGTATTTCACAGAAATTTCTGTTTTTAGTAATCATGAGGCAACACTGTTCATCGAAATCAAAAATTGATAAACAGTGTTATGTATCTTAGTGTAGTCTACTTGTGTGCCAAGTTATATTGAAATCAGACAAACACTGTAGGAGGATTAGCATTTTAAAAGTATTTCACATAAATTTCTATTTTTAGTAACCAAGGCAACACCGTTCATCGAAATCAAAAACCGATATAAAGAATTATGTATCTTAGTGTAGTCTACTTGTGTGCCAAGTTATATTGAAATCAGACAAAAACTGTAGGAGGAGTAGCATTTTGAAAAATTGTTTACAGACAGACGGACAGCTAGACGGACGGACGACAGACGCATTACGATCGCATAAGCTCTTCTGGTCTGACCAGTAGAGCTAAAAACAGCAAAAAGTGCTGTAAAAGTAAATTAAATTGTGTGACCGTTTATTCAGAGAGTAATTTCAACTCTCAAAATCAAACCCTTTTATTCGTATTCGTAAATTCAAATAACATTTTTCATTGAGAAGTGGTCATTCCATAGGCATGTCGGAGAGTGTCACAAAAAATCACTCGGAAAACGTCCCTATCTGTCGACCTATTGCTTTAATTTGTAGAGACCTTTCTTTAAAAGTTACATCGATGAGTTTGGCCTTAGACAGAGTTCGTTTTGTTAAAATAATAACATTTTGGGAAAAGGATAAAAAAAAATCGTCCTTTCTATCCAATGATTAAGAATATTATATGCCTCTGGAAATGTTGGAATATCTGTTTACATAATCATTCAGTGGTGTAGGAGGAGTTGTGGATAAGAGCTGAGTACCCCAAAGCGTAACAGACAGGCGGACGTGAAGAACAGACGGACGGATGTGTTTTGCATTTTTAGCAAAATATTTACCTTTCATGAGTGTCTTGAATGCAGTTTACAATAATTAATAAACAACTCTCTCGAGCAACGACCCCTAATAAAATCCCAGAATAATTTCATTTTTCATGGAAACTGTCACATATTCATGTCATTCTTTACAAAATATTTACCTTTGGTGATCTTAATCAACGAAATGGTTCTTGATGACAGTAGAGGTGACCAATTTTTTTTTATTGAATGCAGTTTACAATAATTAATAAACAACTCTCTCGAGCAATGCATAAAAGTTTCTTATTTTTTCCCCTATGCCTCAACCCACTCTCAATCATTTCTATTGTTTTCAATCCGATCATATGTATAAGTTGTTTGCCTCAATTTCATTATAGTCTTTGCCTTACTCAGTAAATATTTACCAATTTGCCATCTGCTAATTTTTTAATGCTGAAAAAATTAAAATCATTAGATATTGCTTTAATAGAAGAGGTGTCATTCTCATTTCGCCCACTTTTTGTTTAACCTCTATAGCCAAGTTTTTCAGTGCTATGGTACTTAGCTTATATTCTCCTTGTCAACGGAATTAAATAATGTTTTTCCTTAATGTTCTGAAATTACAATAAAAAACAGATCTCATACAGGGCAATAAATCGACTTTTGGACCCCTAATAAAATCCCAGAATAATTTCATTTTTCATGGAAACTGTCACATATTCATGTCATTCTTTAAAATACTTAATATTCATAAAAAAAATTATTAATTTGTCATTATGCTGGAAAGACATAAAGCTTATTTTAATTAAGCACTAAATTATCATTGTCTACTCTTTAATCCAAATAAAGCTTCATTTCATCAATATTCAAATATAATATAAAATCGTTTTTCAGCTGGAATCCAGGAATATTATGATTAAGATTTTAAAAATCTATTAAATCCATAGAGTGACCTGAGATTGGGGGAGGGGGGTTATGTTGTTTTTAGAAAAAAAAAGTGTAAACATGTGATACTGGTGAAATAATTAATTCGCCATAATGTACATGTCTTACTGCATATCTCAATATGGTGTGTTGCGTAAATGAAATTCTCTCTCTCTCTCTCTCTTAAAAACGTGCATATTGACATTTCCTAAAAAATCGTCTTTTTCCAAAAACTTCAATTACATTTTTATATATAAAACATTTATAGAATACTTTGTGCTATTATTTTTTTATATTTAAATTGACTCTATACATGGCCTATTTTATGAAGAGACTTGACATCTTTCATGTTATAAATTCAGCGAAAATGGTACAGTTCTTCATTTGAACAATGCTTTATTATCAAGTTTGATACTGAAATAAAAGAAAAAAATTTTGCATTCCAGTGGAAACAGAGAATGTAATATATATTTATTAAATGATATCTTAAAAGTCTAAACAAAGCAGTTTTGCTTATTGAATTGAATCAGTCAACCTAAATGTAGTAAGAGATATATGGCTAGTCACTTCACTATGATGACGAGCATCAAACATTCGTCCGGAACATTTCAATCTTATTTCCAAGCACTTTCGGTATATGGTTCGAAATCGAGTTACGTTAATTATAAAAATTACCGGATGTATGGAATGATTAACAAGGATGAGAGATGTCCCAATGTGATGTAGAACAAAGAACCATGGATCCATGATAAAGCAAACAAAAACCTGAATGATTTCCTTCACGTTGTTTGGTGTCGTCATAATTAGGTACGTCACAATAACAACTGAAATGGTTCGAGATACTGTTTGATCGGAAATACTCGGAGACTCATTTCCTCTGGCCAAGTCTCTCTCCCACCTTGGAGTAAGGGATCTCAATACATATAGCAATCCAAGCATTGTGACCGGAAATATGAATACTAAAACGCTATACGTTTTAACAGTAGCTTCTATTGCAGAAACATCTCCTTTCCACAGTATAATCATACACGGAATTCCTGTTCCAAATGCCGCAATCCATGTGACTACAGATATTAACAGTATTCGTTTATAAGTCAACCATAGTTTATATTGTAGAGGATACGCAGTCATGATAACTTGTTGAACTGAAAGCAAGATGATGAATAAATACGAGCTGATGTATGCAGTTGTCAAGAGGGTGTAAAGCATGAACCTGGTCAATTCGGGCGAGGCTTTCAAATGGCTGCGGAATTCAGCAGCGATATATTTGATCACAAGAAATACAAAATCTGAGATAGAAAGCATTATAAAACCCAAAATATTGGGTTTTTGAAAACGTTTTTCAAAGAAAACGAGGATAAATAGTAATAAATTTAGCATAGCTCCGATTAAGGCTGAACATTTCAAAAACATGAGCATGGTATCGCATTGATAATTACTCAAACAGGAATGATGATCATAGTCCACCAGTACACAGGAATACCAAGTTTGGTCATCTTCCACAAATTTCTCTGACGTTGAATTAGTCATTGTAGAATTATACATATGTAAAGCCAATAAACACGATCTTTCTCGAGTTCTGCCAATATAAATTTTGATTTTATATATACATTTATATTGACTTGATGGAGCATCTATCCAGCAGCTGAAAAGTGAAGTTATCAGTCATCTATATTGCATCGATGCACGTGATTCAGTTTGAAATGTAAAACCCAGCGTACGTTTCATCCTTCTGCGACTGTGTCCTCCCGGCGATCGCACGGCGTCCATAAAAAATGCACAACGCCGACGTGAACGCAGTAGAGTCTCCTACAGCGCCGTGACAACGCAGCGAGATATCCACTGAACATACGGTCTCCTGGGACTCCAAGGGACTGCGTGCACTTTGTGCATACATTAAGTATGCACAGTATGATCGCGGTCTGATAAGAGCGAACTTGTAGAAACGTAGTATGGTCGCCATAGGCTAGCAGCCAATTGAGGGTACGATAAAACCAGACTTCCGAGTATTTCATTCCGACGTCTCTGGTTTTATAATTTATTTATAACCCCAACCGGAATTTGTGTCCCATCTAAAGTCTTAATATGTATCGAGGTAATTTTCGAGGAAAAAATGAGTAGTTTACAAAAAGCTTCTGTTCCGTTTCGCGTTTTAGCAACACCCGACCAGAGACGTCTGAAACGAAAAAGTCTCTCGAAGTGAACGATGTCATTTAAATGTAGCTTAATTATTGATATATATAAAAAAAATGCGCCTTGAAGCGGAAATGCCTAAAATTGAGTTAGATATGCCTACGTACCTTGTGGTAAAAATAAGTATGGGAATACGTAGTTGACGTATACGAAACAATTGCTTGTGCTTTAAACCCCCCCCTTTCTCAAAACAAATGCTCAAAATAAATTCTCCCTGATATTCCCTTCCTTTTCTAAGCAACTAAAGTCGATTTTAAAAATACCAAAATACAACTGGTAATGTTTAATTTAAATACATGTAATTGATATGGCATGAATTACTTATGTCTGCATCGTTTAATCATTGAATCATGGAATAAAACAAATATTGCTTATTTTTCGGTCAATACAACATGATTTATCCATTTTCGGGTCCGGTAAATATAGGACTCATCAGATGGTTAAATCACCGCATTGACCTAAATAACAGCAATAATTGTATAATATATAATGATATTTATATATGTTTTTTTAGTCGATGCGATTATTTAGCCATCTTAGTTCTCGTGTAATAATAATAGAAGTATAAAGGTATTTTGCCATTTGGAAAATTATTATACTCTTCATTTAAATCAGTTGAATCTGATAATTCTATGAACATGACGAAGAAGAAGAGAACACACGTGTACTCTCTGAATGTATCACCCTTCCGATATTGCAAAACGCCATGTACATGTATCAAGACCAATTATACTAGTTTTTAAAGTAATTATAAAACAAAGTTTACGTTAATCACAGTTCTAGAAAATGTAAATATTTCACTTGGTAGACCTATTTTTATACATAATCCACCAGGGCTTTGTATCAGCCCCCTCTAACTTCAAGACATAAATAACATTGTAATTTATGTATCTGCTGCATGGTAATGATGGTATACTCTTATATACAGATCTGTACTAGTATAAAGCCGTGTTCCTGGTTCAATGTTTTAAACTTTAATTATAAATTATCAGTAAGATATTTACATGCAGTTGATGTTACCATTGAAAATGTGCAGCTAAAAATTTAAAATTTTGAACGTTGTCTTCAACTACATGCATTGTTATGATAAATTTTTAGTCCATAGTATAATAACATCACAAGTACATGTATTATAATTATACTATCATGAGTATGGGTCAAAAATTTATTACAGAAACAAGTGCCTGTGGGGTAGATACATGTATATGAATTTCGAAATGTTTGCAAACGAATTTACATCGAGCTCGGAATTCAATAAATATATATCAAACTTTATTTACAGATGGCGCTCATGAGCTGAAAAATGTCCAGCACAGTTGGACCACTTGTAAACAATTTTGAGGTCCCTTCGTGGTAAAAATTGTGTTTTTGCTTCATCATTTGTTGAAATAATTATGTACTCTGGCTAACCATGACATATAAATTGTAAATATCCTTGTTTTTGACACGCATAAAGAGTGTGTTCTGCAAGCCGTGTGCGGTGCGAGTTTTACACTCATGGCAGTCATGCAATTTTACACTCAATATTTGTATTACATTCGCTTGTTTTCTAATATTCCGTCCTGTTTACTTTTTCACCAGTATACATATTACTGGTCGAGTTTGCACGTAATCTGATGGTTGTCGATTTTATTTTTGGTAATATTTGAAACAATGAGCTCTATAACACGATATTTAAAAAAAGCTAGGCCTACATAACAAAAGCTACTAGTTACAATAATCTGTGTCTCGGGACAAGCCCTCACCACAGTTAGAATACCCTCCATATGCTCGCAATGTAGCAAAAAATTGCAGAATCGCTCTGAAACAATTTAGAAGAATACAAAAGGATTTGCACTGAAAATAACTACCAAATTAATTATAGCAAAAATTTTTGAGGTTATGTATGCCTTTGAAACTAAAATATAATCCAAATAAAGGCAAAAATTCAACTTATTTTCTCAACTTTTATTATCGCAACAAATTTTAATTTAGTTTAATTTGGAACTCTCTTGATTGTTCGTAGTAAATGCACTGAGTTAAAGCTATCGTCGTTGTTTATTTTGCAACAATATGAATTCACATAATGAATTCTATCATTTAACCCGGTCTGTAGAACATTTATCATTTTAACGATAGAACATACTATCAACATAGGCTACATGTAACAACCTGTGTAACAGGAGAGGAGAAAAATGCAGTGAACCAGATTGGAATTCAAACCTGGGCCCCCTAAATCTCCAGTTGAGCTATCTGGCCATCGGCGATTGAACCTGGCTGATCCACACTTATAACAAGTTAACATTGATATTATTGTGTGTTTACTGATTTTCTTTTTTTTTTTAATATTAGGGCTGGAAAGCCTCCACCAGGACTACATTTGGACTGTATGAAGGATGGCAAAATGATTCAGGTAGATTTGCTTTGAAGTTGCAAACAGTGGCCCAATCAGGTTATAAAATCCAAGATAATATCAAAATAACTGGGTTACTACTCTTATGTAGAGCAAAATGATATATTTTGGTGAAAGATGATTAAAAAACATATGTTTATTATACATCAATGATCATTTAATGATCTATGAATAAAATCTTTGCCAAAAGTAAGAGTAGTACCACTGTTATTGTAAAATGCAGGTAGACTTTTCTGGTCCCCCAGATCCACAAGATTTGGCCGCTCATTGCACTATGACCTGAGATATATGTCACTCAACTGAAAAGGGTTAGTCTTGCATGAGTTTTCAACTGATTAGGGTTAGTCTTACATCCACCTGAGAGATTATAGGGTTAGTCCTAGTACATGGGTTAATCTATCATCTGACTGGGAGATTTGGATAATTTCTCACATACTATCTGAGAGATAAGGGTAGTGTCTTGTTATTTTAAATTAACTAAGAAATAAAGTTGTAAGATCATAATTCAGCTTCAATAACATCTCGTTGGTTTGTTTACTTTTAAAAAAAAAAGGTAAGTATGAAAGAAACAGCATAACCATACACCACACAGGCTATTATTTTTTGTGTCCTTTTCACTGAATAAACAATATTTATTTTTTATTAAACAAGGTTATATTGTATATTGAAAATGCCTACGGTGAACATTTTACTTTAATGCATTTTCTGGGGACAGATAAAGTAAAGTAATTCCAAAAATGCAAATTCTATAGACAGAAATATGATAATATCCCAAACAGGATATCTGTTAATCTTGCAGTATGTTACAGTCCTAATATTATACTAAGGTTTACAATTTACAAATATCTTAATTACACAATCTAATAGAGGAATCTCAGTTAGACAATAGTCTTGATGATAATTGGTATATTTTTGGAGAAGCAAATTAAGCTTTAGAGGATTTGAATGGATGTTGAAATATTGTTCTCATACCTCCTAAGAACTGAACAAATTCTGTCAGAAGATGGTTGTTTATGAGAGTGTTATTTGATGGTTATATGATGATACAATAGTAAGGAAAATTGAAATTAAATTTATAACCCAAAACTATCAAGAACTGGTCGTGCATACAATTAGAACCGTTCCCAGGTAAGCTTGGACTTTCAGTAACGTGTGGCATTCTCGGTGGTATGTAATTAGTGTCTCCCAAATGGCGAATAGATTTTCACTGGTTTCTTAACCAGTGAAAATTAATAACATCAGGAATTTTAAATAGTTGTTGACAACGATGAGATGACTTAAGCTGACCTCTATGCCGGATGAGACAATGTTATTTGTTAAAAGATACACTAATTTCAGTAATTTGCATTTGCCCTGATTTCTATCCCATGTATATTTCAACAGGAAAGCTGTGTAAATTTCAGAAACTAATTATGTAACGTCGAGAGTGCCACACCTTACTGAAAGTCCAAGCTAAACTGGAAATTGTCCCAACTCTGGTGTAGAGCAGATTAAAAATAATGATTAGCAAAGAATTGATTTTAAGATAATATTGCACTTGGACAGTTGCATTGCTGATGAATACAATACAGCTAGTGCTTTTACACGAGTGCCACATTACAATGATATTGTATCAGCACATTCTGTTTCTAAGATGTAACAATGTGCTATGTTATTATCTTACAGCAATTACCTTACAGCAACAAAAACGGTATTCATACAAAAACGTATTGTTTTTTTTTTATTTAGAGAATTGGATTCATTTCTTCTTTGTTAATAATTATTGTCTTTAATTCACTGTGCTTGAAACATGTAAAATACCTCTGTTGACTTGGTTCTTATTCTGAAATGTGTGTGCAAATGATAAAAAATTATTACAACCCTGAATTAAATTTATACACTTTACACATTTGGATACACATTTTGTAGAAACTGATGATAGACGAGAAGAAGTGCTACTTCTTTGGGAGGAACAAGCAGCTCTGTGACTTCTGTATTGACCACCAATCATGTTCCCGAGTTCATGCTGCTCTTGTTTGGCACAAACATTTATCACGACCCTTCATTGTAGACTTAGGCAGCAGTAAGTCAGTTTGAAGTTACAAGACTACTACTTATGTTACCTTCAATATTTTCTCAGTGTAGGAAAGATATTTAAGTACAGAAACAATTTATGAATTCTAAATTTAAATGTAAATCTCAAAATCTTGCTAATTGAAGTAAAATTATATATGGTAAGGTATGAGTGATATACATGTTTAAGGTTTCCCTTATGTTTTTTTTTTTCAGCTCATGGTACACATATTGGACACATTAGACTGGAAAGTAGGAAACCACAACAAGTTCCAATTGACAGCGAGATTCACTTCGGGGCATCCACAAGAATCTACATTATACGAGAACGACCTCAGGTCATCACAGGCCAGATCTCCGATGACAAGGAGAAACGACGCGAGGATCTAGAAGGGGGACTCCTGGGATTACCGGAGACGGAAACAGAGCTCGACGTAATCAACTTATTTCGGATAATGAGACACTTTAGTATTACATGTTCATTATCTGCTATTGGTCAGAAATAGAGCTTTGAGATTTTTTTTCTCTTTGATTATATTATAATTAAACTCGTAATTAATTTTTTATGCCAAGGCAATAGCAATGTGGTTTTCTTTTGTTTATTCTCTCTGATTTTTGATTGTGCTCACTCTCTTGATATTACCCTGAATTTAATTGACAGATAAAACAAAACTGAATTGCTAGTGAACATTAATTTTTTTTTTTTCAGAATTTAACCGAATTCAATACAGCCCACAACAGACGCATATCTTCCATGGTAGACATTGGATCAGACAAAGGACCCAACCCAATGAAGAGGAAACACAGAAACCACCATGTCAACTTTGGGGAGGAAGATGACATCATAAACCCAGGTAACTGCAGTGCAAGATCATATGCTTTGTTTCTTTTATTATCATTTTAATTATTTGTCCAAAAGATTTTTAAAAAATCAGTGACCCTAAATTGGTGTAGAGCTAGTTGTGTGGAGCAATTCCAATTTGCCATAATTACAATAATGGATATCATAGAAGATACGGTTATTTTTGTAATTTGTGTAATGTGTTTTTTTTCTATATTTCTTATAGAGGACATAGATCCCTCAGTAGGACGATTTAGAAATATGATTCAGACAACAGTTATCCCAAATAAGGTAAGCAAATCCCATTGTTAAAAGCTTTCTTATTCATGATGTACAATTGATTAGGTAAAGTATCAAAATTGTCATTGTGATTTCAATAAATAATTTACTGTTGTTCACAGCGTCAGAAAATGGACACCGGTTTAGTTCAAAATACAACAATGACAGACAACATTACAAAGAGGTTACAAAGCTTCTCTTATCAGACACCCAGTTTGTATGGTGACTTGACCTCGGCACCAAACACTTACAGTATAGCTGCTAAAATGGGACTGCATGTGCCAAATCTGGCTCCTGACATTGTACCGGATGAACCAGTGGCACAGGCCGTCACGGCTCATCCACCAGTTGTGTTTAACGTAGAAGAGGTCTCCAAAGAACCCAAGAAAAAGAAATACGCCAAGGAAATGTGGCCCGGCAAAAAACCTGTTCACTCACTTCTTGTATAGCCTCCCGCCCCCATGCTTGTTTTCTGTTGTTTTGAAGAGTCTGTGTTTTGGAAAGATTTTTTTTTCATCATTTAGCTGAATTTTTTAAAATTACTTTTTAATCTTTATTATTATATCTATCAAAATCTGTCAAAATTTCCTGTTTGATAAGGCAGTAGATTTTTAAGCATAAACCATGATGCTAAAGAGAGCACGATTTGTATTTAAAATAGCTTCTTGATATGATCTGTAGGTTTGTCTTTGAATGCCTTTAAATGATTTTATTCACAATTTTTATGTTTGAAATATGAAAAATTTAAATTGTGGCAAGATATTTTTGTTAAAGGTTGTTTCCATTTTGCAAAGGAAAAAAAAGAATAACATGTTTAACTTGATTAATGTATTTGCATCTGGTAATTCCACAAAAAAAATTATGTTAAATATACATGTATATAAAGATTTACTCTTGCCCACTACCATCACAACAAAATCAACCTCACTTTGTCAAAACTATATAAAACAATACTGATGATAATTAGGTTGCTTTAAGTAAAGAATACAACAGGTATGTACATGTATCAGAAATATATTTTCTTTTTTGTCATCATTGAATTGCAGTCCCCAACAGAAACAGTTTATTTCAGTGTTAAAATTTTGCACAATGATTGTTTAAGAACAAAGTTTAAATTCTTTTATTAGACAAGATTTATTATGCAGTCTGTCTTTTAAAATATTACATTATAAATTGAGTGAAGTGCATTTACTAATTTTTTTTTTTTCTTTTATAAAAGAGACTATTGTCTTTAAAGCTAGTTTTCAATACAAAAATAAAATAAAATACATACATTGCTGAAATGCACAGGAAGTTTTTAATTGACATTCTCAATACATGTATTACATCATCTGATCTGGTCATGCCTTTGAATACTCACTTTGGGTATCTAGCTTAAAATTCTTCATGGAGCTATTACGCGTATGTCAATTTCATACCATATAAGGAAAATATGGTACATGTGAAATGTTTGTAAAAGTGCATTTGCATGTAAATGTATCCATGAGAAAGTGAGTGTCATTAAAGCAATGTAAATTGATACATATATAAGTTAAAGTGTAGAATGTGAGAATTTATGTTTACAATTTTTAAACGATATAATTAGCTGTATGTATTCTGTAATAAAATGATTGATGTACTTTCATTTCTGAATATTTTTAAAATTGTATAACAGATTTGTTGTTTAAGGATGTTCAATATATCTTAAGTGACAGATATTGGCTGTAAAGACAGGTTGCTGTGTTTTTGTTGCCTGTCCTAAGGTTGCTGTGTTTTGTTGCCTATCCTAAGGTTGCTGTTGATTCATGGGGAGCTGAGCAATATTTTTGCTTCTAGTGGTCCACCTGTTGTTAATCTGTATAATATGAATGAAGAAATTCTCTGGCACATGTTAGAGGGAGTTGTCAGAGTATTTGGCATTATTTTGTTTAAAATTGTTGTTTTCTTGATGTCGTTTATTATACTAAATTCGATAATCTTGAAATTATAAATGAGAGTTAACTCTCTTGGCATCTAATATACTGGTACCAAGTGAGCTTATCTGGTCGATAAGTATTCGTTAGAAATGTCTGGTGGGCCAAATTTTGACTATCAAACATATCTGTCGCTAAGAGCACCATACATTGACACAAACCACGGGTTTACGTGCCCATTCCATTTTCTTACACAGTTTTCAGACGATATCGCTAGAAACGTCATAGTAAGGATATGCAAGACACTTTTTGCAAAGGGAGCTAACTGGTTAATTTTATTTGTAAATATTGAGGTATATCAGCATCTGTTCATATTACTAATTGTACTAGTATAGATAGGCAATCATAAAGGAACACACTAGGAGAAAACTTATGAATGTTACAATCTCTAGGGCTACAGAATGAATGTACACTGGGTAGATAAAGATGGATCGACTCCAGAACCACCTAAAAGAAATAGGAAAGATTTTCGGCAATATTGGTAAAGATGAAATCTATTGTAAAAACCATGCGGAAAAGTATCGCGGTATCCATTTCAGCTCACTTAAAAAGGGGATGGGCTTATGCAATACCGTAGACGTTGGCGAACAAGGTTATAATTCTATACCTTACTATCGGAGGTGCATAGAAGATGCTGTAGTATATGTTGTGCTAGTCAAGATTTCAGATGCAGAACTGCAAGTCCTACGTGATCAATCTTAAATCTATCATGGATTATACGTGTACATCCACATCTAAAGCTGCACTCTACAAGGCTTCGGATGATTGATATGACCTTCATTTTGTAGATCAGGGACCAGATTAATTTTCAAAAGTTTAAGAACAGGTCTCATATCCAAGTTTTGGACACAGGTTCATTCTAAAGCAACTATTGGCCCTGTAATGCCCAAACTTGCATGGACGTTTCATCTAAGGATACACACTATTGGACTTGCTTTGGATGGTGGATCTGGCCTACATTTCTAAAACCATTGACTAGTTTGAAGTTTTAGTAGCAGGTTCATTTTAAAATGCCCGTTACTACTAGTATTTTCCCTACGTGAACAATCTTTCATAGATGCTACATCTAAGGATTCACACTACATGTACTTGACTTGCCTCGGGTTCTGAATTTGACCTACATTTTCTACATTTTCCAGATCATTTTGCATGCCAAGGGTTTCAAGTTCCTATCATGAGTCTACTCTATAAGTTGTAGAGTAGATTTTGGATCGGAAACTCGTGGGTAGTGAAGACGTTTCAGTAACCAGGTTAAAGTTTTGGAGCAGTTTTTAAAGTTACCATATTAAAGCCTATGCTTACAAACTTTGCACTGAGTACATTGATTGATGCGCATTGCCAAAGTTGCCTCTGATGCGATATTTATCCAGATGAGTGAGCAGCTTGAAGTTTTATTTTAGAGAGGTCCATGACCAAGAAACCATTAGGCCAACATAAGCCAAACTTATATGGATGATACATCAAATGATGTACACTATCAGAGTTGTCACAGATCCTGAATTTGACCTACACTTTCCAGAAAAGGTGACCAGGTTAGATTTTTGGAGCAGGTCCATTACCAAAAACTATTAGACCTATCTGAACTAAACTTGGTAATTGATGAACATTCTAAATCTTGCTTCAGATGCTGGATTTGACTTGCATTTTTAATCTCTGTGAGGGACAACTTTGAAGTATTTAGATTAGTCCTTTATCAAAGTAATTTGCAAGCCTTTTGAGACCGAAATTGTTGCATCCCTGTCCAGGGATGCACACTACTGGATTATTAATGAAGAGTAGGTCTTTGCCTTACTTAGCGACATTATTTGTTGACAAGAGATCTCTGATTTCGGATGATTGCACCAATATGTTTTAATGTGAAGTTTGTTTCCAAATACATCTGTATACAAACAAAATATATATGTATATGTTTTTTAATTGTATATAGAATTATGACTGAATATATTTCAGTGAACCTTATTAGTATCGTACTTATTAAGTACTGATTTACAAATAAACAATCTCCACAAAATAAAAAAAAAATGAACTGAAATCATAGTTTGGAAGACTGTGGACTATGGGGCGCCGTTTTGGTATTTAATGCCAAAAAGTGATATCATCGATTCCAGTAAGTGATATCACATGTTCGAATAGATGGTATCACCTATTCGAATGGTGATGTCACCATTTCAATTTGAATAGGTATCATCACAAACTCAAAAGCTGAGTAGGTGATATCACCTTTTCGAATAGGCGATATCACTTTTTGGTAGTAAACACAGGTGCTTGAGGACAGGACCCCAACCCCCCACCCCCCTCGATATAGACCCCTGGGCTTTTTCGATTTTTTTCTCATAAAAAAATCTGTCATTGCCATATTTGTGATAAGATCTATACCAGCAAATCGAAAAATTACCTAAAACAAACGTTCTATTAAATCTACCCTACATTCTTTATATAACTGATCAAAGTACTCAGAAGTACAGAGAGCCGGGCTCATTTACAGAGTAGAATGGATTTCTTACATGAATCACGTTTATATTCTGATGAAAAAATTATTTTAAAACTATCAATATAAATGATAAGACACTGACAGTGAGTTTTTCAATCCTAATGTCCAATTTCAGCTGAATGTAAACAAACAGGCCAGTGTGCTTTACCTCGTAAGAACTACGGTAACACTGATTATCAAAAATCCTTACGCTAATGAACTATGTTCTTTGACTTATGAAGTTTTCAAAGTCATTACTACTGATGTTTATTTTATATAGATAAAACTTCGTTTTATTTTTGTTGCTTTATTTAGCGTTTGTATTATCTCAAAAGCGGTTGAAAGTAAGAACTATATTTTTGCACGTAACTTTAAAATGGCGACTATGGGGTCAACATCCTGCATTGAACAGGATCACATAAGCCGGCAATTGCTCTTTGAGCAATAAGCCCGGCTAAATATCAACAAGGTTGCCAACTCCGTAAAAAGCTTATTGAACGGAAGTAATAAGGAGAGGACTAATTCCCGATGTTCGATGTTCCCCATATACCCAAATATACGTGTAAAGTATTGTTTTTTTTTTGTACGAATTCTTCATCAAAATCTTATTTTCAAAAGTTTTGTAGATTTACACAAATATTTAATGAAAAGAAGATATTTTTATAACTTGCATTTTTAAAAGGGCATAACTCTCACATGCAAATCAGGTATTTGAAAAATAATTAGAGACATTTCATTTGCATCAGCGGTTTAGAACTCTATTCTCCCAATACATTTGAAAGACATTTTTTAAAGTGTATATCAACCAAATTTCTCCAAAAGTTTACTTCAAAACAGTGTCTCAGACGTTCTGCAGAACTGTGTATTTTGGTAAAAAGTCGTCTCCTCGTCACTTCCGTTCACTAAGCAAAAACGCTGACTGTAGCCTGACATCCTTTCGAAAACTTGGTCATAACGACTGTTAAAGTGCCTTAACCTTCATGAGAGTTGGTGGTTAATGAAAAGAATATTCAATCTACAATATGAGTTGTTGATTTTAGGGCTTTGTTTAGATTTATGAGACGATTCAACCAAAATTCTCGGCAGTGCCTCTCGGTTTGAAGACGAAGTTGGAAACCTTGTTAATTTATATATAGAGAGGGTAGATATTTTTATAAAATGTAAGTTTTAGCAAATTTTCTGAATTGGTAGGATAGATTCTATCACAAATGTGTCATCCATATATAATTTATGTGAACAAAGTCGAACAGGCCCGGGGGTCCATATTGGGGGGGGGGGGGGGTGTTGCTAAAACGCGGAACGGAAAACGGAACGGAAAGCGGAACGGAACGGAAAGCGGAACGGAACGGAAAACGGAAAGTTTTAGTCAAACAAATAAAATAGATTCGATATAAATCAGTTTAAAAAGCAAATTTCTTGTTGTAAAAGTCATTTCTAATAAAAATTTATTGTAAACTATTATATATTCTTGAGTCATGCATACCCTCCGTGAAAAAAATGGCACCGAAGGAAATTAGATCCGAAATACGATTTTCGTGTTAAGACGTATACTCGGCACTCAGGGCCATTGAGCAATGAGGGTTCTTTATCGTGCCAGCGCCTACCGTGACACGGGACCTACGTTTTTAAGGTCATATCCGAAAGACCCGTGACTTTCACTTCTAGAGCCGAGCGCTTGGCGAAGGAACAGTCACTACCTTTGTTTACGTCATATATAACGCTCTTATGACCGGTTTTTTCAATGTCAATGTCTGTAAAGACAAAAATAACTACATATAGTTATGATATTCAGAGTATGCACTCTGTGTCGAATTCGCGAATCATGAAAGGGGGAGTGGCAGTTTCGGTCTGTGTAGGGGCCCAGAGCCACATTAAAAATTGATTTATGGACACAAAAAGGGGACAGACCTATTGCAACTTTTCAGACCTTTCCGATGAGGGGAAAACAAACTCATTTTTTACGGGGTCATTCATATACACCCCCCTAAACATACACGCATATGTACCACAAACAAACAAAATTTAACTTCAGTGCAAGATTCTGCACTATATCTACCACGTGAAAGTTTTCCAACTTGTCTATCAAGAATTTAATATATAGAAAGCGACTCTATTTTGAATAAAACTTTAACAACCAGTGTGTATAAGAGATGTTTATTTGAGCTTGACGTAAAGGTTTGCCCTATACGTAATCTTACTATT